ATGGTTGGGTTGCCAGCCAAGGTAATGTTTTTCGGCCAAACTTACGCGTTTAAAATAGGCAGGTGCATGCCCGGGAGAGATGTGCATGGTAAAATCCGTTCCAAAAATTTCACTTTGTCTGCAGCATCCGGCTACAATCCTCACATGCTAATGTTGTACCACAGGCCCTTGGAGGCTCAAGTTTCAAGAAGAGTATAAGAGCGAAGCGGAGCTCTTATACTCTTCTTTAACATCTTGAGCTTCCATGGGATGTGGTTGTACATAGGAATAGAGCTCGCGTCGCTGGTCCCGTTGCCAGTCAAGTTAATATTTTTCGGCGAAACCTACGCGCTCAAACTAGGCAGATATATGCATGCCCGGGAGAGATGTGCATGGTAAAACCCGCTCTAGGAATCTCTTTGGCCGCCGCATCACGCCGCAATTCATTCCCTATATGCTAACGTACATGGGAATGGCACTCACGTCGCACGTCGGGTCACCAGCCAAGGTTATGTTTTCCGGCCAAACTTACGCGCTCGAATGGGCAGGAGTATGCCCGGGAAGGATGTGTATGGTAAACTCCGCTCTGGAAATATCACTGTAGCCGCAGGATCACGCAACAATCTTTTCTCTATTGTAATGTACATTGGAATAGCGATCGCGTCGCTGCTCGCGCTGCTAGCCGATGTTTTTCAGCCAGAATTACGCGCTCAGAATGGGCAAGGGTATGCCCAGGAGACATGTGCATGGTAAAATACCCTCTATAGATTTTACTTTGGCCGCAGTATCCCGGCGCAATTCTTCCCCTATGGTCGCGTTGCGAGCCAAGATGAGGATTTTGAGGACAAACTTACGCGCTCAAAATGGGCAGGGGTATGCCTGGGAGAGATGAACTTGGTAAAATCCGTTCTGAACCTTTCACTTTAGACGCAGCATCCCGCCACAATCTTTTCCCTGTACTAATTTACATGGGAATGGTGCTCACGTCTCTGGTCGCGTTGCCAGCCAAGATAATATTTTTCGGTCAAACTTACGCGCTCGACATGGGAGCCCCACATTTTGTGATGTATCAACGGATGTCAGAATTCAGTACTACTATGCATAATAGCATAAACATCGCTATATAGTTACATTTACAGTTACAGTACAATAACATCACACTTGAGTGAATATTATGGAGGCGGTAGTTGCACCTGACGTCAGAATGTCTGTGTGTGCTACAGGGTAGGGCGAGAGTGACATTGTGACATTGTGGAGGCGTGACTCTCCCCTTACACTTGGGTGACCGTGACATCACAATGCTCGCGCGTCTTTCATAGAAATAATATTCTAGTTATATCTTACTATATGGTGTCTCTCTATATTTTTATGGTGTCACCCGCGTGTGTGTGTGCGTGCGTGCGTGCGTGCGTGTGGGAGGGTGTAGGTGAGTGTGACACCAGTAATCACACTGGGCGTGAAGGTGACATCATAGTTGGAGCAAGGTTAGCTCAAAGAAACGGTCATACATCGAACGACCGATACATGGGATTGTGTATGGACGGTAATAACTAATGTGAGTTAGAGGCATGCCGGCGACATGTGCACTTACACAGGGGAGAAGACGTATGCCTCTCCTATGTGTCCAGCCACTCGTTAGACAAATACCGTTTAGCGGGATAGTTACTTGGTTAATATAATAGTACTGTAGTACGCTCGCTCGCATGCTTGCATGCTGCGCAAATGTATCAATTAAATATTCCCTAGTCAATATAGTATATTCCCTTGTACCTTTCTCAAACGCACCTGCATAGGTAGTGTTATTTTCTCAATGCGTTTATGCGATAAAAACACGAACGTTTTTTTTCCAGAATTCAAAATTGTATATCGCGAACCTACACCGTAGCGCGTATTAAGGAGAAATACGATGTCACTGAAAACGAAGTACATTGCCAATGGGTTTCTCTGGTTAAGCAGTGAAAGAAAGTGATTTTTGCCAAAAAACACATTCCGATCGTGTATAAGCATCATTTATTAGGCATAGCAACGCGACAAAGCAACACCAACAAGCCATTCCTTAAAACCATCGCACTCGAACATCCGCTTTCAACGTTGAACTTCAAAGTCCAACGACAGAGGTTGGCATCAACACTGGTAATGGCAATAGGACTGTTGAAGTACAACAACAACAACAACAACAACAATAATAACAACACAAATAACACGGATTGCCACTGATAGACATATCTAGTACTCAAGAAAACTAATAATTTAAGAGGGACGGGTATTTACACGACCCAGTGTCACATGATCTGGAAGAAGCCAAATGATAATCGGCACGACACCCATACTTTAGACATGATTCAAATAAAAATGTCTGATGATAGTTTAATCAAAACTGGCTCCGAATCCTAGATTAATCCCACACAGTTAATCTACACGAGTATTTAAATCACAACTCCCAATGGACTAGTCACCCCGACGTTCTATCTGCGAGACATCTATCACACGCCAATATGCAAACGTTCAGAAGGAGACAGTGCCGACCAATCAGCTCATGGCAGAAAACCGTATTATTGTACAAACGTCTAGTAGCACGTTATTCTCTTCACCACCATGAATTTCCGGTGTAAATAAAGCCGAACTTGAGAGAAGAATCGTCTAATAACAGTGTGCATCATCATATCCTATGAAGGGACAACATATATTCATTTTCTTATCGACATCACATCACACGCAGCTTCCTTCATTGTTGCCATAGTGACGTGACAATTAAATGTAATGCCTTGCTAATGTTACTTAACTTAATGACGTCTCTGCTTATACAACTCAATACTACCATAGGAGAGAGCTTGTGCCTGATATTCAGCACAGTGTGTGTAAGTAACTACATGAACTGGTAACATAAGCAACCCACGTACAAGCGAGGCGATATCCCCCTGCATTATGCCCAGTCACAGATATAGACACACCTACACTTATAATATATATATATATATATATATATATATATATATATTATATATATAAAGTAATTTATCCGGGTGTGACCTCGAATCAATCAAGAAGGTCCAAACCGAGAGATCCAGAGACCTTATTTTTTACGGGAACTTGCGTGGTCACTGATTAGGAAGTAGACTATGTAGCAGCTTGACCTCCGAAGTAACTTCATGCCAGCCGAGACAATTTCTACCCAGGCGGCAGCGTCACCAAATCGCAGCCGTCCTATCTAAAGTTTACGTCCAGATTCGTGGTGTTGCCCTATGTGGAACATGGCGGTCGGTTCACATGCTCGAAGATGAGCAAAATGATGGACAGGGGGAGAGCGATAGGGGAGCGCCGGGGGGAAATAACCTACACGGTGGGCATGCGCCACATGCGGATAGCCTACACATTCTCACCCAAGAGGGACAAAAACATTGTCGACGAAGAAGCTTTCCAACGCTCTTTCTATACAAATACTATATTCATACAATTTTCCGTTTAATTTACTTTGATTGAAACATGTAACTTGATTGAACAATGTATTTAATTAATATAATTTAATGTATTTAATGTAACAATGTAATTTTGTCAAAAAACAATGTCACCATGTTATAAGAATTGCTATCAAATACGTTAAATTATTTTCATTTTTATCCGTGCAACGCCGGGGATCTCTCCTAGTATATATAATAATATATATCGCTATACAATCGCTACCAACGTACGTGACATGCTTCAGCCTTATTTGAGAAATTTTGTTCTAACGACGGTCCAGATAAATTCATCTTCACGTTGCGCAAAATCTTTGTACACTGTGATAGCTAATGATCTACTTGACATTATTTCATAGACAAGCGTGCTGATAGTTACCCTACATCTGATACGCTGATACGACATCTGACCTCTAATTGAACGTGATTTACGTTTAATTGGTAATGTATAACCGATAATGTATACCCAAGATGGGCTCTAGCTATGCACGTTCGTTAGTGGATTATATTGAGGCTAACACGTTCGCTTCATTCACTGTATCTAAACCTGGCCTCCATCTTAGATATATTGATGCTGCTTTTTTCAGCTCTATGAAACTTTCCGTTTCGCAAAATTTCATTAACCAATTGCCATGTTACGTCTTTAATTTCCACCACTGTCTTTAATATATACACGCTACATCATCTGATATAAGCTTCCTTTCCTGGACATGGTTGCTTCTCTGGTGAAAACTTCTGGTGACTTCTGTCCATTATAAACCCGCCGGCACTCATTCCTATCTGTATTTTCATCCTATTTTTCTATTTTCATCCTTTCACTCTATTTATTTTCATCCTATCTATCTATCTTTAGCATTCGTCTTCTCATACTCGCCATGCTAAGCGTAGCCTCCCACATTCGCAATTTTACGTTTAAAAAAATTAGAGGCTCATAGACCGATTTTCAGGCAAACGCTTCCAACATGATAGAATGTTTTAAAGACCGTGGCTATATGATCCCTCTAAAACATTTACGTTAGGATTCATTAGCAACTACATGAAGAGCGAAGTGCGAATAAAAATTCTGACAGATGTCTAGTTCTCGTCTATCATCCTTCGATCTTACGCATCAAACACGTGTTAATAGACAATTGCATGATTGTCCAAAAAAATCCAACCACAGCCAACAATTTTTCAGAAAACCAAATATGCTCTTGTAGACGTGAGCAGAAACCAATTCTGGGGGCTGAATGTTTGAAACACTGACAGTGTGTGTGCATGCGTGAATGCGTGTGTGCGTGTATGTGTGTGTGTGCATGCGTGAATGCGTGCATGTGTGTGTATGTGTGTGCATGCATGCGTGTGTGTGTGTGCGTGCGTGCGTGCGTGCGTGCGTATGTGCATGCATGCCTGTGCGCGCGTTTGCGTGCGTGCATTTGCGTGCGTGCATGCGTGTGCACTGTAAGCATTCGTATGCGCCCGCGTGCGTGTGTGCGTGCGTGCGTGCGGGCGTGTGTGCATGCATGCCTGTGCGCGCGTTTGCGTGCGTGCATTTGCGTGCGTGCAT